CTCTCTCTCTCTCTCTCTCTCTCTGTGTGTGTGTGTGTGTGTGTGTGTGTGTGTGTGTGTGTGTGTGTGTGTCTAGACCAGAAGTCAACCTTGGTTGTCCTCCTTGTGTTGCTCTCCACTTTGTTTTGAACTTTGTTTTTATTCATGTGTATATATGTCTGCCTGAGTATATACCCCATATGTGTGAAGATGCCCATGGATGCAGAGATCCCCTGAGTCTAGAGTAGCAGGCCTTTGAGAGCTGCCTGATGTGAGTGCTGGGAACCAAATCTTCTTAACCACCGAGCTATCTTTCCAGACCCTTTACATTATTTTTTGAGACTGGGTATCTCACTAGGATCTGAAAGTCCTAATTTGGCTAGACCGGCTGGTCAGTGTCCCAAGGACTCAGCAGTCTCTATCTACTCAGCATTGTGGCATGCAACACCGCACCTGGTAGTTTCCCAAAAGTTCTTGGGATCAAACTGAGGTCCTCACACTTGTGCAGCAGGTACACTGCCAACTGAACTATCACTATAGCCCTTGGTTTCCTTTCATTGGTGTAATCAAATGTCCAACTTGAAGCAACTTACAGAAAAAGAGATATTTTCTTCTTTCTTTACAGTTTGAGTATAGGCCGTCATGGAAAGGAAGACGATGTGGGGTGGTATGTAGCAACGGGAGTTGATCACATCAACTCCACAATCAGAAAGCAGAAATGAATGCCAGTGTTCCACTTGGATTCTCCTTTTTAATTCAGTCAAAGGCCTTGTCCTGTGGGATGGCACTACCCACTCTCAGGGCAAATCTCATTTCCTAGCTAAACTTCCTTGGAAGTGCTCTCACAGACATTTCCAGAAGTATGTCTCCTCAGGAACTCCGACCCTGTCCAGTTGACAATCAGTATAAACTATTACGCTGAAATCAGATTCCTACCTCATCTTTCTCCAGTCCTCTTGTTGCTACACTATGGTACATATAAAGGGGTATAGATCAAAGAGACCTCCATCCTACTAGCCTCTTCCTTCTTTGTGTCACTTGGCTTTCCATGTAGCATAAACAGTAATTCTTTATTTACTTAGAAGAACACTTTGAGGGCAGAAGCAGCCTGGGATTACACTGGGAAATAACCTGCCAAACACCTGCTAAGCATGTACCTGTTAAAACCTACACCTATGTGCCAGTCTGCCGGAAATTCTGTCATAGCGATTGCTACATTGTGTCTGTGAAAACAGGATAAGGTCATCCACACACAGAGGCCCAGTGGCAATAAATATGTCACTTGCTGGTGTGATGACCGTATACAAACTTTTCCACTTGTCCAATCTGCTTCCCCAGGATTTTTGAAAAATGAAGTGATATTTGTGAATGTTTTTATGCTTACAAAATGCTGTGTTAATGTTAGGTATGATAATAGACTGCCTTCATAATCACAGGTACAGTATGAAAGCATAGTAAGACCAAGATTTCTCCTCTTAAATTTGTTCTGAAGTCCCAGATTTTCTGCAGTGCCCAACCAGATTTCCCTGGGGAACCATCTCCCCAGCTCTGTACTCAATGAATTTATATATACAGATGAATATATGGATATATATCTATGTGGTTCTGGCTACATCTGGTAATATTAGTTAACCCTAATTCCCCCTTTTAGTATATTTTAAGTCCTTGAAAAATAGAAAGTGATTCCTTCAGTTCTGCCTCTATACCAGTCCTGCCTGAGTTTCTTTCCCACAAACTGCAGAGTGTTCCCACAAAGGAGAAATTAGGAAGCCTTTGTAGCTGTGACTAGTGGAAATTGCACTTCTATTAAAAGCTATTTGTGGCTAGAAGTATCCATCTCAGGTACAAAGTAAAATGATGTAATCAACTTATTCAAAGACATAAAGCTATTATATAAAATGCCATTAAATATCTCCCATTCAGTGTTAACAAAATACAGCTATACATTTTCCTGAGGTTGTCATTTGGCAATGTTCTTGTCCTCAGTGGCTAATGTGTTCTTCACCAGGTTGGCAAGTGGAGTATCAAGGATGCATGACCTTTTGAGATGCTGTTGTCTTCTGCTTTCCTTGGTGTCATTCCTGTGTTTGCAAATGCTAAATTTCTCCATTTATCAGTTTCTCTAATTTTTGGTTTTGTTTTTTTTAACCTGCTAGCAGCATGCAGTGCTGTGTTCTGCTTTTCATATTCTAGAGTCACACGGGAAGCCTGACCATCCAAGTGATAGCATGGGATTGGAGGTTGGAAGCGATCACTTCACCTTAGCCATAGAGTGGGGAGTGTGGTTTACTGGCTACATAAAGGAATAAAGGATGAAAGTAAAGAGGAAGGGATGTAAGATCATATGTTCAATATATATATACATATATATATATATGTATATATATATTATTGTTATTATTATATCTATTATCATTATATCTATTTGGCTCTTTGGCTCAAATTTTTCTGTGATTATTGAACCTTACCATCAGATCAAAACAAACTGCATAGTTGAGGATACAGCCAATGGTGGAGGGTTTGCCTAGCATTCACGAGGCCCTAGGATCAGTCCTCCAGATTGGAATATGAGAAACAAAGAACCCTCCTATAGGTTTAATTGAACGTGGAATCCTATCACTCTAGAGGCAGAGGCAGAAAGATGGACTCCCAGGCTAGCCTAGACTCCAGAGTGAGATATTTGTCTCAGAAAATAAATAAGGCATTGAAGTGAGTCAGCAGGTAAGGCCCTTGCCACCAAGTTAACTGAGTTCTGTTGCTGGCACTCATATGGTGGAAGGAGAGAACCAACTTCCAGGAGTTGTCCTCTGACCTAAATATACACAGTGAGAGAAAAAATAAATAAATATGACAAGTAAATTAATTAATGGAAGTGTGCACAATATCCAAATATGTCTTAATGAACTTGTCTAATTTTGTGAACTTGTTGGGGTTCCCATTTACCTATGCAAGTCAGTTTTAAATCCCAGTCCTCTCCATCTTTCTGAGCCTTCCCAAGCAGAATGGATGAAGGTGGGACAGAAAGAAGATGGTGGAATTTGCCCTGGTCCTGTGGCAGGCCTGTATGTTCTTTGTACAGGGAAATGAGTCACACTAAAGCGATGTAAAAGTGTTTTCTGGTACCATCTGCCTTTGGCCTTCCCTTAGTGTGGGGATCTGTCACTGTGGGATAGACAAGCCAGCTCTTGACACTCTTGCAATCCTTCTAGGAAACAGCATCCTCCATTCCGCTGCTGATAGTGTGACCAGTGCAGTACAGAAGGCAAGCCAGGCCTTGAATGAACGTGGGGAACGGTTAGGCCGAGCAGAAGAGAAGACAGAAGACATGAAGAACAGTGCTCAGCAGTTTGCAGAAACCGCACACAAGGTGAGCCAGCAGAAAGCAGGATCTCCATGCTGGGTTATCGGGGGCCATAGTGCCAAGAAACTTCGTATGGTGAGAGGGAACATCAGCCATTTGATAGGTCATTCCATGATTACTAGGGCCTAGAATTTTTCTTCTTCTACCTGGTTTGTGTGGGTCACCATCTTCTTCCTAATGTCTTCATCTCTTTCTCTGACCTGACTTTTAGCTATTTTAGGTAACAGAAAAAAATCTTTTAATTACTGCCCCTCAGGTCACCGAAAGAGGGACAAATGTGATAATGTCTCAGGATATATCTCTTTCCTTGGCCACAGCTGAAAGAATTGTAGTGGACTTGAGTCTTCTCAGGTGTCCTTTCCCACTCTGTCCCTTTCTCATCCTGTATCTGCCATGTGTCATTAGCTCTTCACTAGACATAAAGCAAGCCCTGGCTTCAAGGCTAGCTTCCACTCTGACAGGGGATGAGTGTTGATTCAAGACCTCAGTTCTGGATCTCTAATTTTGACAGAGGTGGCAAGATAATCTCCTGGCCCTGAACTCTGAGAAGGATTCCTCTTATATGCCTGGAAACTTAGCACACATGTTCATCCTTTTGCTGAGAATTGCTTTTTAGAAGGGCATGGGACTATGCACTGGCAGTCCCTATCTAAGGCAAGCATACACAGAGGGGAAGAGGAGTCCCACTGCTTGGGCGATAAGGAAAATTTATGACTGTACTTGTACCCCATATCAAAGAGTAGTTCATTTCTAACTGACAATTTGAATTTATGTTTCTGGAAACCATTTCTATTGGTGACATATTGGCCTGTCAGGCTCATGATCAGGACCTTCAGATAGTTTTTTCACTGATCTTTGAGGGAGAATAATTCAATTAGCCTCAACACAATATACCACTTGTGCTGGGGAACCAGAAAAGGACAACCAAGATGCAATGAGGAAAATATGTTCCACTGAGGCAGAAGATGCCTCTCCAGATCTCCAGACTGGCTCCTGGTGGATGTTTATGCTGTCCTTCCTCTGTGATCCTCTTTACACACAACTGTCTAAGTGCCAGAGTGACTCTCTGTCACAACTGTGTCTTAGTACACTTAGTGCATTGCCTCTGAAACCCAGGTAGAGTTCCTAGAAGGAGAACTAGCCAACTGTTTAAGAAAGGAGATAGACAAGCTGGAATCAGGACCTCACGCCTGTGAGCTGTTACAGAGGTCATAAACTCAGATGCACATTTCTCCAGAGCTTTGTGTACAGGGGAAGTGACAGCATGGGAATCTGAGAGATTCCCCAGATGCGGTAATACAAAAAGCAACTTCACTTATCCAAGTGGGAGATAGAGAGCGGAAATCTGGAGATAAATTCTTAGTGTTGGGGAAGAGAAAGCCAAAGGAAGTAACTTCCCAACTGTCCTAAAGTCCACAAAGGGTGGGTTGTCCAGGTGATTATCTCTCCTGACTTCCCACAGAATTGTGCAATTGATGGTGTACTGATAAAACTCTGTTAAAACAGTTTAGGCTAATGATTAAACCATGAACCAGGTTACCAAGGAAGCTGTGAAACTATTCTTCCTAACGTGGGGGAGACAATACCTGGATGTCATCCACATAGGCGTTCTTCTCAGGAGGGGTTGTACAAACACCCAAGTTCTTGGCTGTGGCAACCGTTTCCCTGACACTGTGGCCAAGTTTACTGAATGGTTGGGAAATAACATGGTACAGTAGTGAATGTCCTACATTTGAGCCCAGCTCTGTCACTCACCATCTGAGTGACCTTGGACAAATGCTAAATTACTCGAAGTCCATGTTTTCTCAGTAAAACAGAGGCAATTAATTAAAAACAGCACCTATCTCCTTGGGTGCTGAGATGAGCATGCACATAAATCTAAATTGTTTATGATTTATTTCAGTAGACATAGCTTCTGCCGAGCCTGTCCCATTTGGTCACATAATGAGCTCAGTAATGAGGCTGGAGAATTATTACAGATGACTGAGAGTCTTTAAAACAGCAAGAGAAAAGGAATGCAGATGGAGAGTATGTGATTCAAACTCAAAAGGATAGAGCAGTGTGAAGTTTATGGTATCTGAACTGAGAGCAGTCCTCATGAGACCAGTAGTTGATGAGACCATCGAATACACGGGTTTCTCCAGCTTTCATCAATGCAGGCGAGTCATCTGGTCTTAGTGGAGAGGGCTTAGGCAAGAGAAGTTAGCATTGCAATTGGTTTGCCCTCTGGAAGGAGTTCCCAGGGGAGAAGAGACACTGTAGAGCTCCTGAGAGAGTGTGTGTGAGAGAGTGTGAGACAGTGTCAGAGCTACACTTGCAGATTTCTGAATTGGGATATAGACTTAAAAATCACTAGCCTTGGCTGTATTCCTAGTGAGCAGGTTGACCTCTTTAGATAACATGTGGCTACTTTCCCAGGGGCAAGAACTGCCAATTTGTCCCCATTGGTATAAGCTTACCATGAAGATGTCATTTCACTGGCCAAGCACCAACCAGGCCGGCCGGGAAGAAGAGACTTCAGAAGTGAAACCAGGCCTTTTCCACCCCCACCCCCCCAGACATGTGTGGCCTGTTGACTCATCAAGAGTGGGCTGTGTTTACAAGAGGAGGACACAATGCACATGGCAGAGAACAGTCATCCCAGGTGATAGTTCCTCTGAGGACAGCCAGTATGCACTGGAAAGTGTGGCCTGTTTTTCTAGATTACAGTAGAAAACAATCTTTGGTCTTCTGATTTTCCCGGGACCCTGCAATGACCCAGAGTGAACAATGTAAGAGTGAACAAATCATTTTTATATGACCACGTTTTCGAGTTGTATAGGTGCTGGTTCCTTCTAGAGCAGAGAGGGACAAGGTACTTCTCTCCTGTCCCAGCACCCTCCTCACCCCAGCTCTGGTTAGCCTGCCTTCAGGAAGTGTGGTTCCTTCCTGTGCTGTGGGTTTGGCACAGTCCCAGCCATTAGAAAAGAGAAACTCACGACAGAAGCAGCCCTGTTCTCTTCCCCCTGCCCCCAAAAGCTCAAGGGTGCAGTGTATTCTGGGTTTTGACAGCCCACCATGGGGACTGCGAGTCAGCAGGCAAGAACATCAGCCACACTAGTCATCCACAAATTACATTTCTCACAGAAAAGAGCACTGATCTGGCCTATTCTGCACCAGCCCACATTTGTGGGGGAAGTGATGGCAACAGGCATTATCCTCTCTAGAAAGGGAAAACAGCCTCTCTCTCTCTCTCTCTCTCTCTCTCTCTCTCTCTCTCTCTCTGTCTCTGTGTGTGTGTGTGTTTTTCTCTCTCCCTCCCTCTCTCTGTCTCTGTCTCTCTCTGTGTCTCTGTCTCTCCCTCTCCTCCTTTCCTCCCTCCCTCCCTCTATCTCTATCTCTATCACTATCTCTATCTCTATCTCTGTCTCTCTCTACTCTCTTCTGTTGCAGTTGCTCACTTTGGACCTCCAGGCCAGAAGGGAAGGGACTCGGGCCTCTTAAAGCATGTCCCTAGCATCAGTAACTGTTTATTTTAATAACCATTATATAGAATCGGTTACAAATCATTGAGAGGTGGTTTCTGTGATGTATTCAGCAAATAAACTAGGAAGAATTGTTAGTGAGGAACTCCAGCACCTGAGTTAATCTGTGGCAGTTTTACAGGCACGGGAAACAATGGGAAGGCATGGGATTCTTGACTTTGGAGCTTGGGGTCTCACAGCAAAGTTGTATAGTCTGGTTTCATGATCTTGTCTGGTCTACTGCTCTTTCTGCTCTTAATCCTAAAGCTCTTCATTCCCAGAGACTTTTATAAACCAGAGTATTATCACTTCTTACCCAAATATGTATCACTAGTCCATTCAGACTACTTAAAGTAAGTAAACAAACAAACTGGTAGTTGATAAACAGTGAATTTCTCACAGAGAAATCCAAGATCAGGATGCCTGGCGAGGATCAGTTTCCTGATTCACTTATGGTGACCCATCAGAGTACATATCCTGTCATAGTGAAAAGAGAGTCTCTAATTCATTGTGAGGAATCTGCATCATTGTCCAGGTACCTCCCAAGCCCACCTCCTTATGCCATCTCATGGCAGTGAGGTTTCAGCACATGACTTTTGGGAAGACACGAATATTTGGACCATTACAAGACCTAAGTAGCAAATTGTCCTATCCAATTGTATTTCTGCAAAGTACAGTTGTCCATGACCCAGGGTATGGTTTGAGCAGCAGCACAATTATTCCTGAAGATGAGTGGCTATGTTTGAACTGGCTCAAGCCTGTTAGTGGAAAGTTAATAGCTCAATGAATACCAACACTGTAGCCTTGATCAAATATTTATGGTTGGTATTCATTACGCACGACACTTAACAGCTCTGTGTTTATTTTATGGACCTCATTGATTAAATAATATATGAAATCTGGAGGCAGAACAAAACAGTAGGCCTGACAATAAGGGACCCAGAAAGTGGCTGAAGTCTGGCATAGGTCTGAGTCCGAGTCCTACCTCTATCATTTTATTGTGTCAGTAACTAAATACATTTAATGCCAGGAGTTTCAGGCAACGCCACAATTGTTGGAAGAAGAAGAAGAAAAAAAAAGCTTTAGCAATCAGTATAGAAGTACTAAGAACTAAGAGGTCACAAACTCTGCCTCTGACAGTTGACTAAACATGACCATCAGCCAGCAAAGGTTTGGTGGAACTCTTCACGGGCACTACCTTACAGGGGTACCAAGGCTTTCAGTTAAGGTTTTCTTTGCAGACACTACCAGGATAGAGTCTGTCCATCCTCTGTCAGGTGCAGAAATCTTGACATTTTTTTTTTCCCAGTGGGAGCTCAGGGTTCTAACTTCTCTCTCTCAGCTACAAAGAAGATGACACTGTGACTGCCCTGGGCTTTGCTAGAAAGATGGGTATTGACACATTCCAGGGTGAGGCAGAGCACCGATAATTAGAAGTTAAGGTCTATTGTTCATCCTACTCAATAATACAATTTAATTGCCAGGAGCTTTGGACCTGGTTGAAAATCCAGCAAGCATATTGCAGAGAGGATTTTCGATTGTCTCTCAGCGTGCTGTTGCATTCTCACACTTTATGGGATATCATCAAATATTAACATATCAAGAGTGTTGCTTGCTGACATAACCGGTGACCTAGGAATCCCACCTGTCCCTAGGGCAAGTCGCTTGTCCTCCCTGTACACTTTGTTTCCATTGTTCCCCCAGTGGGATGAAAAAGCACCACACAGCATCCTCCACCAACACACACATATGCCAACAAAGCTGACAAAGTGCAGCGTCCTGTGCACATCTACCAGGAGCCACTGTGGATAGGAATCGTGGTCATCACCACACAGAATCTGTTGACATGTCTCATCCTAAATGTGGGAAGGAAAGGCATCGAGCCTCCCTACAAATGAGGTCTCATTTGTTTACATTGCCCTCCCTTTCTCTCCTTAGCTTGCCATGAAGCACAAATGTTGAGAAACTGCCTATCCTGGTAAACCTCTAAAGAAAATGGAAGAATTTGTTCAGCGGTGATTACGAGAATTCAGGACTGCTGCTTCCTTCTTTTCGTTTTGTTGGTTGGTTGGTTGGTTTTTCCAGTATCTGGACATTGAGTGATTTTGGTTTTTCATCTTCAGATGTCAATATGAATGAAAATGTTTTGTGTTTATACATTTCCCTATCTTGGTAAGAAATGCTGCAATAGCATCAGCTTCATTTTTATTTTTCCATTTGTGTGTGTGTGTGTGTGTGTGTGTGTGTGTGTTTCCTTTTAAAGGAAAATTGTTTTGTAGTTTAAATATGAAATTCAGACTAAATGATAAGCCAGGTCTAAACTAGCAAAATGAATTTTTTCTCCCTCTGAAACTAAGCAACAAAACAGTCAAATATGCTGACATTAGATGATGGTCCTTTACAAAATTAAAAGTCACACAGTGGTATCACTTACTTTCCTAGTCTTCTTAATTTGAAGAGCAAAGTTAAAATTCAGTATCCTGGGACTCAAGTCTATGCTATGGAAAACACATATATCAGGGAAAATAGCAGTATTGGATTTTGCTCTTTGCATATTAATCTTTTTTGCATGAAACATCACTAGCATTCACAAAACAAATCAGAATCACAAATAGAAATCTACTTTCTGAGATGAAGCATGAACATTTCTGCTCCTTCTTTCCAGTCTGATTAGTTGGAATTATCATATGAAGGATAAAAATTTGAGTGTAAAGCCCTATAGAAAAACCTACTTTAAAAATCTCTGTGTCTTTATGGATGTTTCTCTCTATTGTAATCTTCCCAAATTATAGTAGCTGACATGGGGGGACTTGTATTTCTAACAAAAATAACTTATCCAGGGTCAGTGAGGTAGATCAGTGGATGAAGGTGCTTATAGCATAACGCTGGTGACCAGATGCCAGAGAGTTGACCTCTGACCTCCACACATGTGTCATGACACACCATATCAAACACATACACAGATACAATGATAATAATGAATAAAGTTGGTTCAGGGCCACTCCTCTCACCCACTGTGTAGGAGTGCTGACAACCCAAACTTTGTTTTTATAATAAGCCCCTGTGTGTTTGCATCGGAAAAAAAATAATAATGGTGAATAAAGTAAAATAAAATAAATTATTTGTCTAGATAAAAATCTACATAAATCATAATGTGAAAAGATATGACTTCCTTTTTTTTTCTCTCTCCTTTTACAAAGCTATGCCGAATGCCAGAGGCACTCTTGCAGTAGCCTTGGGAAAGGACCTTTGGTTTCTTGGCATCTGGGTTTTGGAGGTTTGGATATTGTTTTTGTTTCCAGTTTATCTTGTGTCATTTAACATGTGCTTCTTGACAGATTACATGTTTGTCAATTTGGACTTGCCTGTTCTGGTACAGACAGCATGGTTACAAGCCTTTATATTGCTGTCAAATTGAACAGAGTTCTTCTGGATTCTGTGTTGCTCAAGGTAATAGTACACTTAGACTGTGGAAGTTTTGTTTTCTGAAAGGTTAAAAGCTAAACATAAAACAAAACAACCTATGTTTGTTCCTCATGAAGCAATGAGGCAAGCTACGTGTGCCAGATATTCACTGCAATGCATGGAGTTTTCAGCTGCCTGGGTCTTCAGGACCTGTTTTCTTCTTTCCTATCCACCGAGTCACCTATTTTTGTGTGATGTAGCCTCTGAGGCAGCAGCATAAATTGACTTTAGATTACTAATGCTGATTTAAATGCTTAAGTTCTCCTAATAATGCATCCTAGGGAAAGAGCACACTGTTCTTGGAATATCATGGGTATGGTATCAGGAGGATAGAATTTGCTGCAAAGGAGTTTGTGAATTTTCTTGGGCAGATAGTCCAGTTGAAAAACACACTGCAACATGTATATTGTGGGCTAGGAATGTTCACTGTATCTTACACTCTCCTTTAGGTGTCTTAACATTTTAAAGAAGCCAGGAACATGCCATCAGCTGATTATTGGAACTATCTGATTTCTAAAAAGATAAAAATAAAAAGCCCCCAAATATCACTCCAAACTGATTTCATTTGTAGACTTTAGCTTAGAAAACACACATACTCATCTTCCAAAACTGGATCCTAGTTTCAGAGAGTTGGTATAAATAGTTGAGGGAAGTAGTCTCACTTTCGACACACAACTCAAGGGTAAAATTGGTTGTCTGCTACCTGCCAAAAGCTATATGGCAGCTATTTCTGAAGGGGCAGAGGGTGAGGCCATGTGCATTCTGTGAAAGCTGGGCCTTCCTCTTCTGCATAATTCTTGTAGTTGCTTTTTACAAGTATAAGTGCCCTTCACCTTCCCTCTTCCCATTCTCTCTGTTGACGACCTTAGGCCTAAGTCTTGTTAGAAAAAGCCTGAACTGGAAGAAAAGCCTACCTGTAGCTTTTTTTGGCTGACCAATCAGCTTCCAGGCCATCACCATGACCTTGACCTATGGTGAATCTTGCTTGTTCTCCACCACACATGGGCTATAACAGCCACTGCTGCCCCTCTTCAACCATCCAGCCTCGTTTGGAGAAGCCCGTGAGAGCACACGTGAGATTCATTGCTATCCTTTTGTAGAAAGTACTGTAATCTAACCCACAGAAATTTGCTAAGAGGACTCCAGGCATTTGGGACCAAGCCATTTGGTTGAGCTTGATAGAAGATTTATGGTATTTAATTTATTTCTGCACTTCACTATGAATTTTGGAAATGGTGTCTTTCTCTGAAGGACTTTGCAAATTACATTGACATGCATAAAGGAAAGGAGCTTGCCAGTGTTTCTGCTTCTTCCTAGAATGTAGCTGTAGAGTTCTTCACTAGAATGATTAGATATCTATGTACAGGAACTATGCAGTTATTCAGGTTGATGCTTCATTTTAAAGAATGTACTTGTAAAACGTAACAAGATCAGTAGCTAACTTTTTTTAAGGTCTGATAAAAGTAAGATTATGTGTTAGACTTAAAATTATAGTGAAATCTGTCTTATGCTATTGTGAGTAGCAAAGGTTATGCATTTATGTAGAAACTTTTACAGAGTTTTCCCTAAATAAGAGAAAGTAGTAGAGATAGGTTTCACTCCTAACTTTCAGAATTGTGATGCTGTTAATCTGTTTTGTTCTTGGCTCCTCAGAAATTCTCGCTGACATTTGAGCACCATTTTTTGTTGCATTTGGAGACAAGTAACAGCTGTTCTGTTGGTTCACTATTACAGCAACTCAAATTTTGTCATTAAATATTTTAATTCTGTGGTGAAAGTTTTTTCTCTCTCAGTTATTTGTGAAACCTGTAAACCACCACCCAGCATGTGAACACCATCACACCTGTTATGGTGGTGGTGGAGGGGGGGAAGCTGTATGTGTGCCTGCAGACCTCAGCATTGAGACCAGACAATGATGAAATTATGGGAAAGCTGGAAGTGTAAAGAAAGATGGATGAGTGAAGCTCAGTGCAGAGCTTGACAGGTATTCAGCAAGAGCTGGGCTCTGTTTTCTGGAGCAGGTAGGCAGATCACTGCATCCTCTCCTGCTGGCATCAGTAATGTGTTCAGTTTAAGAGTTTGTTTTAGGAGACCCCATCACTCAGCAGACAAGTTATGTGTCCTACCAAACTGTAAGGTCCACTAGATCAGATAGTGTCCTCTTATTTCTGTGGCAAAGCAAATGTTACCCCATTGGTTTTCAACGGAAGTGACCTGAGTAACTTTGGCAACCCAATAGTCATCTCTGCCAGGTACACCCAGTGAAGCAGGTGAACTCAGAAGCCTACAGTGCTGCAACATCTCCAAGAAGAACCCGTGGTGATAGGGTTTGATTAAATAAGAACCTAGAATTAAGCTAATTGAACACCTAAAGATACCCACTCTTGTGAATAAAATTACAACTCAGCTGGCTGATCTATAAAAATTATTGTATTGTTAAAATTATTTTATTTGTTATCAACTATACATTTACTGACTCAAATTCTGAGAGAATTAATATAAGCCGATAAGGGTTTTAATCAATGGGCAATCTTCCCTCTGTTAACCACCAGGAATGTGCTTTAAAAAAAAATTGTGTGTGTGTGTGTGTGTGTGTGTGTGTGTGTGTGTGTGTGTGTTGTGTTTGAGACACTCAAAGGCATGCGCCACCATACCAGGCAAAATAATTTGATCTCTTACCAACATTATGTGCATAGACAAGCAGTCTGAGATGGTGAATGATATAAACGAGAAGAACGGTGATGGGGAGTTTCATTGATATATTTCCAACCAAAATTCAACTATGTAGATTTCTTATTGATAATCTGTGTGCCTCTCATTGGCATAGGATAGCATGGGTCGCAGACAAATGCAAGCTCACACACAGCCCAGTTGGCCATGTTGAGAAAAGAGTTGTGCTGAGCTCCCAGAAAACCCACAGAGGTCACTTGATCTAGAGATGGTACTTCCAGTCATCAGCAACACTAGCAATGCCTCACATGGGCCCCTTTTCCAGCAAGAAACAAAGACTTCCATGACATGGGTAAAAACCATGTGCCTAACTGGTCAGCACTTCTCTCCTGTGTGGAATCTGGACTTATATGTTTATGCATAGGGCTTGGAAGTAGAGAGGAACTTATTTGTGGAAGGAAGGGGTTATAAGGAGGGGAAACAAAAGGAGGCAATGGAAAGACAGACATTGAGTGCTTTCTTTCACTCGGAGCCTGGACTTCCCACTTGTATATGGAGAAGAAAAGGGCAAGTGGGCACTGGAGTCATCATGAACCGAGTGCAATGAGATGCCTGGAAATGTCAGTGAAGGCTCTCGTTTTCTATAACAACTTCAGATTAAATCCCTCATGTGCCCACAGGCAAGTCTCAGTTCACTGCTAAAATGAGAGTGCTGAGTCATCAGCAAGGTGGTAATGAAACATCCCTGGAGGCTCAGGCCCCCAGGATCTCTGCCCAGAACCACAACGACCCCAATCACCAGGTGGATGCAAACAGCAAGAGGCTTTATTGAAGTTGTTTAACGAGCTGGGCCTTTCATCCATCCACCACATCGAATAGCTAGGAAGGACACTGAGAAATCACAGCATAGAGATCTTATAGGGCAGCATAAGTGGAGTGTCTAGGGTGATTGCTATGTTCTGTGCGCCATTTCTGTGCACTTGTCCGTAAAGCACACCCAGAGCCGTAAAGCATAGCACTACCAGCTAACTTCTGATTGGTTCCTTGCCACAAGGCAGGCATCTGACCTCCTAGTGACCAAGGCAAGGTCAGGCATGTGTTAGACTGTTATGGCTGCTGAAATGGGGAGCTGGTCCCTTCAGTACAAAGGAAGGTTGTCCTTGGCTCTTGTTAGAAATTCAGAAAATGTTTCTGTGTTTATTTGACAAACAGCTAGTACAATCACTGTTTTCCTTGAGCTGATAATTCTAGAAAGTCCATTCTGTGATTGTACAGACACCTTCAGTTCTCAATTATGGAACAATAAACCATGGTGGTACAAAATGGATCACCTTGTGGCCAAAATAAGAAAAGCAGAGTGGACTTTCAGTAGCCTGGAGATCCCCTCACTAGGCCCACCTCCTAGTAGCACTGGAACGATGAACCAATGCTTCACCAGGGTGAGCTTTTGAGAACATATATCCAAAGCACAGGAGCATGTAATTACTTTATGTAGGCAAGCTTTCCTATGTGAAAGTTACCTTCAAACCTTCACCAAAGACTCCTCTGTCTGAAACCTCCTGGCTGGTCTCTCTTAGTCCCTTTCAGCTCAGCCTTTCTAAGGGTCACCTGCCAGCAAAGTGTGGACTCAAGGGTCACAGCCATTCCTTCACCCCCATTGCCTGTGACAGCTAGTTGCAGTGTTCTTAGATGGTTCACATTTACTTTTGTATTTTCTGTTTTGCTGGTTATCTGGTTATCTTTCCTTTTGCTGATAGATAGATAGATAGATAGATAGATAGATAGATAGATAGATAATTAGATAAGTAAAAAATAGATGAGTGGCTGAATAAATAAATAAACAAATGGTTCCAGCAAGACTCAGATGGTAGGGCACCTGGTTTTCCCAGATGCTTACTAGATTTAAACCAACAAATAAAAGCTGCCAAGAATATTTAGTATAATGTGTACTTACACTGTGTTACTGAAGGGTAGTCTTTTGCCTTGACTGTCATCATAGTTTCACATTTGAACCTCCTCTGGAACCTCTGGATTACCCAAATCCTGTTTTCACTCCTACTCCTTCCTCATATGGCATATTACTGGGGAGAAGTGAACACATGTCTGCTCAGCCCAGACAGAGTACTTAAGGCAGACCAAAGCAAGGCCACCATCAACTTGGTGAACCATGAGTTTTATTGGACTTATTTAATGAGGGATTACTCACAGGAACAGAGATGACTCCCAGACAGCCTTATCACCAAGGTCTGCTCCCGAACAGGTGTCAGTTCACAAAAGCTGGAGACCTGAAGCACACTACCCAACCTGTAGGCATCTAGTCAGATTGGAAACAGTCCTTTACAGGGGGCTCTATATGTCTGAGTTTCTTCCAGGAAGCTCAGCTGGCCTCTTCCTTTTCTAAGCAGGTCAACTTGTCTGAGAGTGTTTCTCATCTGTCCATACTGCTTATATACCTTTGGGAAAAGTGAGATCTAGTGTATTTGGTAAGTTTCTGGAACTTCATGAAACCGTTAAGTTGTTTCCTTCCCGTTAATCAGCTTTCTGGACAAGATAGAATTCTTCACATCCCTTCAGAATATCCTGTGCCTGCCCCCCTTCAAGATGGAAGTTTGCCTCAGAGGAAGTTGCTATGGAACATGCCTTCTCTTCAAGTTTTCTGCCACAGTTTCTTCTATTTTCTGAGTCATGACTAGGCTCCATAGGCATTCAGGGTGACTGCAACAAAGGCCTATCCCAGTCCATGGCCCATCCCATGGGTCCTATGGAATGTGGTATAGAAATAGAACCCATGGTCATGCCTACTGGATTATGATTTAGCTGGCCATATATGTCACAATTATTCTCATACTTCCTCCATTAGGCATTTTAAATGGTACCAGTGCTTGCAGGTAGAGGGAAGATTTATTCGACAACACACAATTTCCCTTTCAGTCTGCCTCAAATGGCAGGTTGAAATGTCACACATCTATACTTAGATGGATATGTGTGCAGAAGACGGGGCTCATAGTCCCTTGAATCCCAGGTATCAATTGCCAACATTAGATATGGATGGAGCCTTTGTCCTATGCCATGTGTCACTGTTACTCTACCAACTTGGTTATTTGTCAGGTGACACAGAGATAAGCAAATGGAGCCCATGAATGCTTTCCGTGAACACTGAGGCAGGAGATTACAAATTCAAAAGAACATTCCTGTGTAAGCACTGATCATGTGTACCAAATGATCTGTTTAATTAAAACTTCGTCCTTTATTGCTGAAGCCTACAGTTTTCCTTAAATATGATCTTGTCATCTTTCCCTGGTTTTTGGAGAACAAAGAATACACTTTTATTCCACAGCACAGAGGCTTCCCTTTGAGTGCTTTCTGTATTAGGCCTGTTGATAACACTCAATGTTTGTAGACATGTTTACATCAGTCTGGAACATTTCAGTAAAGGACCCTCGCAATTTAGACAGAAAGAAAATGCCTGGGCATATATCTGGGGAATGCAGCTCAGCAGTAGAATGCTTGTCTAGTGTGAGGCCCAGGTTCCATTCCCACTACTGTGAGAAGAGGACAGAAGGAAATATGGGAGGGAGTAGAATGTAGAAATTCAAACACACACACACACACACACACACACACACACACACACACCTCCATAAGAATAAACTATTGCCTTTCAAGTGAGGTGAGTTGGGGCAGGGCACCCCCTTGTGGTTATTCACAGAAATAGGGGGTTTGGGGGATAGCAAAGGGATACCATTGTCCAACCAATCTGCCCATCGAAATCCAGCAGCAGCTTTGTCACACTTGTGGCTTTGAAGGTGACTACATTTGTAAGAGCTGGATGACATAATGAATATACAGCCCTGTGCCTGCCACCTCCATGCTTAGTGTATGTCAGCTCTGAGTCAGTCTTTCCCAAAGCAATGACTTTGCAGGACTTTTGAGGCTGCTAGAAGTGGTGCTGGCTGCTGGACAGCACAGTTTCCTTCAGGCCATGTTGGCCCAGGTCATATGGGGCAGATGTTACCCAAGTCTCCCTGGCCATTTTTATGATCCTTTTACATTTCATAGACAGAAGCTCTAGCAAATGAGAGATAGCTGACCTAAGTGCTCAGTGGG